AAAATAATACAATTTTGACAAATATGAAAATAGGATTTTATATCCAACAGCTAAAGAAAATAAGACAAAACTTCAAATATCTGACGTGAATAATAATCTGTTAATGTTAATGATCGCATTATTAGTATTAGAACATACATGAACATATAAATTTCAATATACAATACTTTTTTCTTGGCCATGACAATCCAATTAATTGTAGAAAATTAACATATTTTGAGAATTTTCCATAATTAACAATTACTTTAAGATATTATACGCTGCCAATTTTCGACCAAAATGTGTCCAAAAAGAACTATGAAGGGATGTAATCATAAAAGTTCGATATAAAACGTGTGGAAATGCTAATATCTTCCAAAATATATTTGCAACATTTTCGCGGATTTTTCTCAAAATTTTCTTTCATTGAACCCTTTCAACTTCAATTACAGACTACTAACAGAAACTTTAAGTCAAATCGGTCCAGCCGTTTCTTTAAAATAATTTTTGCAAGATTTTCGCGGATTTTTCTCAAAATTCTCTTTCATAAAAACATTCCCACTGTAATTACCGACAACTGAAAGAAATTTTGAGTCAAATCGGTCCAGCCGTTCTCAATTGATGCGTTAGTATACATTTTTCTTGCTCCATTTTTATATATATAGATATAGCAAACATATACAAATCTATAACGACAATCTGAAAACTAATTAACAATTTATTTCAAAATTAAATATACCTATAACTGAGTGAAAACCACTAAATTTCTATGCCAAATCTAAAATTTTTCGAGTTATATACTGATTTCAATATAAAAATCAAAAGAACAGTTGGACATGAACAAAATGTCATTGTAATTAAGAATCGTTAAAGAAGGGACATATAAGATAATGAAAAAACGTTGGAGCAATAACAAAACATGATCTTCTATTAAAAAACATTTGTTATGTGCTTGGGCCTGCATTGGGATACCAGTTAATAATTTTTATTGACATAAAATTAGTGGCAAATGTTTTTTACCAACCATATATTGATGCAATATTGATAAGGCAAAACAACGTTTGCCGGGTCAGCTAGTATAATTATATTTTTAAATGAATAATACAACTTAATAACAAACTGGCTGTTGAAGTAGATTTCTGTAGCGGGTTTTCTATCCCTTTTCATATTCCATCATAATGCGGATTATGGTGTGTACGCGATCCCTACGAAAGGGGATGTCGCCCCCTCGATCGGCAGGGGTGGGAAAGTGAGGCGTGGGAACGAACGAAAAAAAACATTCTGCTATTTCAGAGTTTTTACAAACTCCTTATTGTTGCATTTCAAAATTGTGGGTTTTGAGGAGACTTTTGTTTTTAAGTTAACAAACTCATAAAATGACTTCGGATTAGTTTTAACATTATTTTTGATCTTGTTGAGGTAATTATTATACAATCTACGGGACTCTATGGTATATTTAGTCCTAGCAACAGAATAATTAGCGTAATCTATAGATGAGCCTGACTTCTTATATTTTCGAAAAAGTTTATGTTTTAAATTTGGAGCACATTCAGAAATAAATTTTTTTAGAGTATTATAAAATTTATCTATTATAAATTCAAAATCGGAGTGATTCTTACATTGACATGCAGTTGTCCAGTTTACAGATGAAATAAGAGAATTAAGCTTTCGAAAATTTGCTTTTTTATAGTTAAGAATATTTTTAAATGAGTCACATGAACTCGTTAATTATGGCTCATGGTTATATATAATGTTGGATGATGATTATCTTCTGGAGTACATATAGCAGGAATTCGAATTAATTCAAAAAATTGTGTAAAATTTACAAATACTAGATCAAGGATTCTATCATTATAATTTAAAATATTATTTATTTGAAGGATATTAATTTCCCAAAATCGATTAACAATATCAAATGTATATTGGTTTACATTGCTTCAGATGTCATGATTATAAATATTAAGATGTGATGAAGGAGTTATATATGATCACGTAACGAATAGTTTAAATTTACCCAATTCAATTAATATGCAGATAAATTCTATGTCAAAAAAAAAACAATTTAATTTAATTAAATTAGTGGAAAATTTGGCATCAACTGCAATAAGGACGCCACCACATTTTTTACCAGTACGATCTTTTCTAAATATTTGATATTTTGAACACATAATTTCACTATTTAACACAGACGTTTTGAGCCAAGTCGCAGTAAACACAATAATGCTAAATTCAAAACCAATGCTATCAGTAAATAAACGAGTTAATTTAGTGTTTAACCCCCTTACATTCTATAGAGATAGAGATTGTTAATTAGCATGTCCACCGCTATTTTAACCCTTTCAGTGTCAAGAATAATTTTTGTCAGAATAAAAATCTAAAATTTTGTATTTAAGATCATATAAATGTACAGAGAAAAAATGCAATTTTTATTTTAACCCTGAGACAGTTTTGTCTCTCTTTCCGAAAAATCGCAAAGAAAGAGAGTAATTTTAAATGTCGAATATATTCGACAAAAGGGTTAAGTAACAGATAGAATATGGTTTGACATAGAGTGAACAACATTTTGGACAGTATTTATGCTTCACAGCATATTTAAGGTAATTTACAAAAGAATCTCATATAACTTTATAATAGGATTACAGCCTAAAAAAACAAGTTTTTGTTTGCTTCGATGCTGGATGGTGGAAAATTCTCCTAATTCAAAATGTGTTATTAAAACGCCGTCTAATAATTCAATATACCTTTTGGAACTAATTTTGGTGGACACATCACAAAGTGGAAGCTTGTATTCGTACGAATATGCAACCCATACCATATGACTTCCCCCCACAAATTTGGCTTCGATCTTACCACATGTTTTTACATTTGTCGTGTATGTTAGAACTATAATAATTTGGTCCATCCACAAACTACTTATTATCGTCGGAAAATATAAGAATTTACAATTTGTTTGTCCAAGCCATATGCATTTATCGAATTTCACAAATTTTACTTGTCACTAGTTTAGTTTAGACCGTGAAATGGTACGTATTGTAACAGATAGCTTAATTTTGTTGTTGGAATATCGACTTTTAGCTGGACGACTTTCGAATTCGTCCTTTATCTCTTAAAATAAAATTGGAATTGTCCTTTGTTGATGGCTTTACACCACAATTTTTCGTTTTTTATACGCGTAATATAATTACACACTCTGAATGATTTATTAATTTTCAAATTTTTGTATTGGAATGTTAATATTTTCTCATGGAACTCATGATATTTATCTCCGTACAATATAATAGCATAACCGAACCCATTTATGCAAAAAATATGAATAATTTATTACTCTTTTTTATTTTTCTTTTTGGAATTACTACCTATTGCTTACAAATATTTTTATCCATTCTCAAGGGTAAGTTTGTTTTTTTTTACAACATTTTTTATTTTAAAATGAGCTGCGCTCAAATGATTAAATGATTTCCTGGCAAAATATGCCTTCTTTTTGGGTATTTCAAGAAGTGTATGAAAAATGTTTTTGGTTTGTATTTAATATTCGATACCTTAAATAAATTCACGATTTTGTTTAAAAAATATAATGTGTTATCATAGTAAAATCTCAAAATCATGATATTCGCTAAAACGAATGACCACTACTGTATTATTTTGTTGCTACAACAACACTGTTGGCATGAGTAGAGATTATAAGTTTTGTATCTAAAAATGATGTGAAAGGATGATTGTGATTCATCCAAAGCCGACAATAATTTCGAAATTACCAACCTTCTAAACGTGTTGATGATGACGATCTCAACGAAATGCCCCAGATGACACCGATGGAGATAACATCAACAATAATAAAATTCATGATGATGCTATTGTTGTGTTCGTAAGGGTGTTCCACCTGCAAAATATTTAAAACACAAAACCCATATCTTAATCCTATCCAATATTTGTGAGCGCTTTTAAATAGGAGATTTGCAGTTATGAAAGAGCCCCAACGAACATGAAGAAGGGGGAATGTTAAAATAATTTGTGGAGAGTTTGCCAAAGCACATTCAAAGTGTAAAAAAGAACAAAGATTGTGGACAAAATATTAAAAAAGTTATTTTTTTGATTTTTTCTTATAAGTGCAAACGTGTACGAAATAAGTTCTTTTTAATTTGAACTATTTTCTTATATTTGTATAAGCCAATAACCAATCTGAAACATTTATATTGAAATCTCATTCATTATATATTAAAAGATCATTTTATATTAAAATATGCAATATAATAATATAAAATGTAATATAATAAATAACCAAATCTTTAACATTTATATTGGAATCTCATACATTAAAGATTTTGTAATGGTTGAAGGGAGAATTTGCCAAAATTCGAACACTTTTGCTCGCCAATGTATATTGATTTTTGGAAAAATTCCATTGACACCATATAGTACTTACAAACGGTAGGTCCTGTTCCAGAACCTGAAAGAATGCACACATTTTTACTATGATAACAATTTTTCGTTAATGATATCGAAAAATAGTAAATATTAGTAAATTCTTGCAGTACGGGAACATACCAGTAGGCCTATTCCGTACCTTATAACGGTTCGACAAACGACAATTTTGTGTATACTTGAAATCTATTTTGTTAAAATTAGACGAACTAACAATGCACTTTGGGAAAGCTTTTATTTTTCAACATTCTGAAAATAAAATACATACAAGTTTTGAACAAAACAAGGCTAGTTTAAAATTGAAGAATATTTGTCGATGACTTCACTTGGAATTGTTTTGCTGTTGTTTATTAGCAATATTTTTAACAATTGTGGTTTAAAACTGCTATAGAATTGAAATATTGTTTATTTTTATTGAGAATTTTTAAAATTTGCAGCCGTAAATTATTTGGTCTGTTCCAGAACCTGCAAGAATGTAAAATTTTTTACTACGATAACAACTTTTCCTTTATGAAATCGAAGAAAATAGTAAAAATTAGTAGATTATTGCAGTACGGGAACAGACCAATTATGATGTTATGTGTAACCTTAATACATACCTTGAAGTCGATATATCCATTTTTATCCATGTCAAATGTACGAAAAACATGGTCACAAAACTCTTCTGCATTCCCAGATGGAAAAAACATCTTATACATATCAACAAATTTTGCAGGAGTCAATCTCCCATTTGGACAATCTTGCTATAAAATAAATATGTTATTTCAGGAATGTTCATATGCTTTTATTTACCTTGAATCCTTTGTACCACTCCTTTATTGTTGATTCATCATAACGTGTGTGAGATTTTAAAAACTCCATGTCCTCCTTTGTTAAACGGTCTTTGCTACTCAAACAACCCATCGTGCTTATTTATATGTTTCGGAATATATAATTTCTTTACAAATTTATTCAGTATGACCTTATTAAAAGTTCTTCAAACCCGTTTTAAAACATCGATTTTATAAAGAATGTATTCAGAAATATTAATAAATTTACAATAGAAAAAATTACTGTATATTCACCAATATTATAGTTCAAATCGAACATTAACATTTGCATATTTTTTAAGCATGCGCATTGCATTATATCGTGTGTATAAAGGATACGAATCCTTGTATATTGTCAAATGAAGCCCATTCGTAAGGTTAACAGGAAACGAGTTACCAACCATTATTATTATTTTTAGTAAAAAATTCAACTTTTTTTCAAATTACATCTGATTGAAATCTACATATCGTCATCATAAATGCAAACGGACGTAACTACACTTTTACTAATTTTATAGGAGAAGCAAAAAACGTTATAAAATCTATAAAAATGGATCATTGCTTGAAATTTTTTCATAGTTTATCCGCACTACAGAGTCGTATTTATTTTTTTGAAATAAAAAACCATTTTTTTCTATTTTTTAAGCTTTATGTCAGTTACATCCTTTTGACTTGATATTTTTTGAAACAAAAGGACGTAACTACAACTCAATTGCTGTACAACAAAGTGAAAAATAATTATCCGATTGAGACTAAAATTTGTACAGCCTACCAAATTGAGTCCGAAGCGACGTGTGTTAAGTTTTGTTGAAATCGGTTCAGATTTAGACATAGCTCCCACATATATTTTCGTCAGATTTTGTGTAAATGGTACATTAAAGCCAATTTTTTTCTTTCCATTTGCACGAAATTTTGCATAGCGTACTGAATTGAGTCTAGAGTGATGTGTATGAAGTTTCGTGAAATTGGTTCAGATTTCGATATAGCTCCCATATACAGTTTTTCGACCGATTTTATGTAAATGTTGCACTAAAGACATTACATATTTCACCGATAGCGATAAAACTTTGCACAGGACACTTTTCCACCCAGTGGGAAACAAAAATACCTAATTATAGCTAATTAGTTACAAAAAAATGAAGAAAAGTGAATATCAAACATCTCAGAAGTAACATTAATATAAGTTCAGAATTTATATCTTCAATATTGCGAGCTTTAGTATTTACAGGAGTTCAGTTACGTCCGTTTGCATTAATAAAAACATGCTATTGTAGTTAATAAGATCGCTTTTTTGACGTTAAATGTCTAAATTTTTGTGTGAACAAAACAATAATCAAACAAAAAGTCAATTTTGAATTTTTCTGTAGCTACGTCCGTTTGCATTTATGATGACGACATGATTTACGCAGAACGTAAAACAAAACATAAAAATTTGGCCGTAGAGAATGGATTTGCTATAGCTTTGCCATATTGAAAATTGTTAATGCATTCTACAAGTATTAACAATTTTGTATTCTACAAATTTGAACTTGAATTGAGAGCCTAAATAACTCAGTACCTGCGGGTGTCGTTTTCTGCTCACTAGTCACGCCCGTTGTCATTCTGCGATAGTGAGCAAACACGTACTCAGCGTACGGACAAAAATGCAGCTGTGTATAACCACAACCTTCAGAGACAGGCGGGGACTCAAACTCAAATTCCGAGTTTGAACAGG